CCCCAAAACCCCAAAACCCCAAAACCCCAAAACCCCGTGTAAATTTGGAGAGATTGAAGTACTAATTATAAATATGGATCAAGAATCTGAAAAACACTTGTAAGTGCAAAAGTAATAAAATTATAGTATTCAGGACACTAAGACACCAAAGAAAAATCATCACGTTGAAAGTTTTAGTATTGAGGACTCTCTGATAGTATCTGTGGAGGTGGATAATGAGAATGAAATTTCTAAAGCAGGTAGAATCAAAGCCCTACTTCTAATATCAGTTTCAACCATCTTTTTTATGCTTACAATGAGCTTTTGAAAGTATGGATACCTGATTAATGAGAAGATGGAAGGAATGGATTATCTTATATTTAGAGGAACTATTATGATGTTCTTTGCTACATTAGAAGCACTCTGTAAAAAAGTTAATGTGCTTCGAGTTCCAAGAGAGATTTATATCTCTGTGATATTTAGGTATTTAACCGGATTAATTGGGATGGCACTCTATTTCTATGCAATTAAGTACTTGCCTATGAGCCAATCTAGTGTTATACTTAGTATATGTCCTCTGATTACTGCTGTCTTAGCGTACTTTTTATTAAGCGAGATCCTCGTTAGAAGAGACATTCTTTGCTTGATTGGAGCTTTTGGTGGAGCTGTTGTTGTCAATGTGTCAAGAATCGGAAAAAAAGGAGTCAGTGAAAGCGAGAACAATTATTTGAAGGGAATTTTGCTCATTATGGTTTCTATAATATTTAACTCTACTGTTCCAATAGCAACAAGACAGATGGCAAAACACGTGCCTTCTATTTACTCGCCATTTTATTTTTCTCTTGGACTTTTCAGTCATTCAGTATTTCTGTTGATTTTTTGTAGGAGCTATCTGAATTTTGAATACTACAATTTTAAAACTATAATGCTATTTTCAGGGAGTGCTTTCGCAAACTATATTGCTCAGTCATTGATGAGCGTTGCTTATAATTATGAAAAAGCAACTGTTCTTGCTCCATTCTCTTACATTGTCACATGTGAATTACTTTTAATTGACTGACTTTTATTCGGATACGATTTCAATATTGTATACTTCCTTGGCTTTACAATGATCCTTGTGTGAGTTCTTTCTCCTTTGCTATTCAAAATAAGCAAGAAGTAACTGTTCAAATAGTTTCAAGGCTATGGTTTATCTCATAAGTTATTATTAAATATGAAGGCTCTGTAAATTGAAGAATATTTATACTCTTGCAAGCTTAAAAACATAGAAAGGGGTTTTGGGGTTTTGGGGTTTTGGGG